GAAATGGGCACGCCAGCCCAGGGGCAAGAACGAGAAGGTGGGAGGAGACAGGAAAGCTGGTAACAGGGAACCCAAGGTCGAGAAGGGGAGAGTGTTGACACGTCGTGGGGTTGGCAACCAATGTCACAAAACAATATGTGTATTAATTGTTTAATGAGAAATTGATTTCTCTGTAAACCTTCATCTAAAGCACAATTTAAAAAAATCTCTATATGTTTATATATTTATGCCCAGTTTCTACCTTCAACTAATTAAATCAGAATTCGAAGTGTGCTCAGGCAGTCAGTGTTTCTTAAAGTTCTCTTTGGGATTTTACTGTGCAGGCAGAGTTGAGAACCACTATGTTAGATGATATTTGAGGTATCTTCCTAGTGATTCTGGTATCAAGAGTACATAATACATAATAGGGACATAATTTAACTGCTATAAAGTATTTCCCTAGAATTAGAATCCTAATTTTTCAGACAAATCATCTTTTGCTTTAGGAATAGTAGATGAATCATAATTTTCACCTTTTCTCAAAGTACTTCCTTGATGGGGTGTATGTACTGTAGTACAAAAATTTGACCTATTCTAAGAATTTCACAGAAGAAAGGCCCAAAATACGATTTTCACATCTACTGGAGTGTTTACTTGTCATTGGATCATTTTCTTCAGATGAATTTACTAATGCTTGATGAAAACCACTTTTTGTTTTTATTAATTAGGGAAGTAAAGAATCACAGGTTTTAATGGATCACTTTTACAGTTGCCTCTTCCCTTCCTTGGACCTCTATGATGTGTTCACCTAGCAACAGCTTCTTTGATGGGCAAACATTCTACTGGCAAATTGCTCAGGGCCGCTACCCATGTTGGACAGTTCAGGTCTCTTCTGGGAATTGACCTTGGACTTGGAATTTTCTCTCGTACCTGATATGGTAAAACTGTTTTTACTTTCTACTAGATGAAGCATAGCATACTATAGTTTTTTAATTTGAAGTATTGATAAATCTTATGAATGTATAAAAAATAGAATAGTCATGTACAAACCTAAAATCAGAATAATTGAGTCATATCGCTGCATTTTGTTTATTTTTACTTTAAGGCTCCAAATACATTTTCATGACGTTAGTTTGGGAGAACAGTACTATCACCATCTATAAAAATTAACTTTGTAATAATTTTTTTTCTGTTGTTTCCTTTAGTTATTCAAATTATATTTTTTGATGCTTACTATCTTAGTTATCTAGTACTGCTATAACAGAAATACCACAAAAGAATGGCTTTAACAAACAGAAGTTTATTCTCTCACAATTTAGGAGGCTAGAAGTCTGAATTCAGGGTGCCAGCTCCAGGGGAAGCCTTTTTCTCTTTCTCAGCTCTGAGGGAAGGTCTTTGTCATCAATCTTCTCCTGGGTCTAGGAGTTTTAGCACAGGGACCCTGGGTCCAAAGGATGTGCTCCACTCCCACCTCTTCTTTCTTGGTGGTATGAGGTTCCTGTCTCTCTGCTCACTTCTCTCTCCTTTTATCGCTTGCAAGATAAAAGGTGATGCAGGCCACACCCCAGGGGAATTCCCCTTACATCAGATCAGGGCTATGACCTGAGTAAGGGTGTTGCATCCCACCCTAATCCTCTTTAACATAACCTAATCTTGCCACATTAACCACAGGCAGTATCATGGATTGAATTATGTCCACCCAAAAATGTGTGTATCAATTTGGCTGGGCCATGATTCCCAGTATTGTGCGGTTGTCTTCCATTTTGTGATTGTAATTTTATGTTAAAGAGGGTTCCGGTGGGATTGTAACACCCTTACTAAGGTCACATCCCTGATCCAATGTAAAGGGAGTTTCCCTGGGGCATGGCCTGCACCACCTTTTATTTTACAAGAGATAAAAGGAAAGGGAAGCAAGCAGAGAATTAGGGACCTCATACCACCAAGAAAGCAGTGCTGGGAGCAGAGTGCGTCCTTTGGACCCGAAGTTCCTGCACAGAGGAGCTCCTAGTCCGGGGAAAGATTGATGATGACGAGGACCTTCCTCCAGAGCTGACAGAGAAAGCCTTCCCCTGGAACTGATGCCCTGAATTTGGACTTCTTGCCTACTAGACTATGAGAAAATTTCTCTTTGTTAAAGTCATCCAATTGCGGTATTTCTGTTAGAGCAGCACTAGATGACTACAACAGGCAGAGATTAGGATTTACAAAACATAGGACAATTACATCGGATCACAAAAGGGAAGACAACCACACAGTACTGGGAATCATGGCCTAGCCAAGTTGACACATATTTTCGGGGGACACAATTCAATCCATAACACTTTCTGTGGAATGGTACATACAAATCAGAAGTAGATCCTGTTCTTAGGTACTTTTAATCTAGTAGGGGAGATAAGATTTTTACATAATACAATATTGAATAAGAACAATCAAAAGAAAGATACATATCGTATACTGTAAGAGTTAGGAGGAGAGCGATTACCTTGTAGGAATCAAGGAAAGCTTCTTGGAGGAGGTGGTACTTGAAATGATATTGAAGGATTTATATGTAAATGATCCAGCTGCTGGGTATATAGTTTGGCCCACACAATGGCTTGATTTTTCTTAAAGACAGTATGAGTAAAATTCATTAAGGAAAGTTATTTTTTGAGCACAAGATTCACAAAATTTCAAGGAAATAAAAGTAAAAGGATAGAATTCTTAAGGAGACCTTTGTCTCCAGTACGTTTCTAGTTCTAGGATTGAGGAGCAGTTTCTTCTCCCTTTTCAGGCACTAAAACTTAAATTCTTCTTTAGTTCTCTTCTTTGGTTCTTAGACAAAGAATTGGTATAATAATGATCTTAGGTATTAAATAATGAAAATAAGAGATTAAAGTCTCATTAGAGATATTTACACTTTAATAATTGTCTTCTATATGTATAACCTAAAAAGAGAATTAATAGAAAAATTTCAAAAAGATTGCATGGTTAGTGAAAAAAAACAGGGCTTTTCTTGATACTTTTTATTTCACATTCCTCAAATCACACAATCCTGATTTTTTTTTCTCCTCTTTTGAAAATTCCTCTCATTCTTGGACTGTTTGATTTTCTGCAAAATACCACCCAGCAAAGAAAAAGCATAACCCACTTACACACAGGCCCTCCAGCATAGTTTCTAAATGTTCTTTCTTTCTTTTTTAACAGAATACATTCCCTGATCTTGAAAAAAAAGAAAAGAAATCTCCATCCTATTGCTTGATAAAACATATGGACATTAATTTGGAAAATGGCTTTTCTCCATTTCTTTTAATTTTACTTTAAAAGAAAATATACTATATTGAATTGAGCTGGGTAGGAAAAATGGATTTAAGGCAATACTGAAGTTCTTGGGAAGCTGAATTTATAAAAGTTATGATGTGGTGTTACATTTTGTCCTTCTAGGGCAAAAAGAGCCTTACGAGCGATCGTATGCAATGCTAATTCATGTTTGACTTTTTATCTTTTGGTTGAATCTTGAGGGATATAGTTGGTGTTTCTGACAGACTGAGACATTGAAAGTGAAAGAAATTTGCAGGTCAGGTATCCAAAGATATATGATTAACAAGTATTGTTTCACTACTATAGTGTAAGTATATATATGTATATAGGCAGGCTGCTTCAACCAGTTACAATCTAAACAGTGTTTTGATGCTGTCTTTAGAAACCAGGTACGCCGTTTCTCCAAGCAGCACAGGTTCAACAGGCAGCTCCTTCTGAGGTCTGGCTACGCAGTGAAGGTATGCAGTGAAACCTCCCTGAAGACATTGCTGTTGGTGCTGGGCAGACCCCAGCATCTCTTCCTGACTGCTATATGCACAAGCCATTTGGAAGCACCTTGGGTCGCCATTACTAGGTCTCTTTCATGCTCCTTGTACCTCCAGCATGTCAGACCCTGTCCAGTTTTTAAACCACTCAGATCCAGGAAGGCTCACAGTTACTGGCCAAAGCAAAGGGCCCCATGAGGCTAAGCCATCAGAAGTCACGCATCTATCAGCTCACACATCTCAGAGAAATAGCCCTGTGGTAAGTCATGTACTCCAGCATTTATTGTTCCCCACTGTCAAAAGGTGGTGATAAAACAGTCTCCTGCACAACTGAGAGCTAGAAGAAAGGAAAGTCTAGTTCTGTTTATCCATTTGCCTGTGCTAATGTCTTTTTCATGTCTTTGCTAGTGAATGATGGAAGAGATGAGGTCAAATGATCTCCTACTTCATTTCTGGTTTGACTCTATAACAAGAAGCAGTGAAACATCTGGATCTAAAGAAAACCTCAAAATGAATGTTATTTATTTCTGCCTTTTTGGTGGTTCTGATATTTCATAAGACAATAGAAAAATAGATTGTGAAGAACTTCTGAATTAATTTGATCCAACCCCATCATTAGAGGGAGACACAATGAGTTAGTGGCAGAGCCAAGCAGTCTGACTCCCAGTCTCCTTCTAGTGCACCATGTCCTACTTTGTTGTATTCTAGTGCACAGCTCTACTCTGACACACACGGGATCACCATGAGTTGGGATTGACTCTACGGCAACTGTTTTTTCTAGATCTTAATGAGAATCCTTCTGGAAATTAAACATCCTCTTAGAGGATGTACCTTTTTAAAAGCCAGTAGAAAGATCCACTAAGGCTTTAGTTCAAAAGCTCATAGGAAGAACAACAAAAAGAGTAGCTGTCGAGGCATATGTATAACCAAAAGCTTCATGGGATTTGGTTTCTTGGTTTAGATGTTTAGGGTCATGGTTGCATGGGACATTCCAGTTAAGTGGCCTAATAACATATTTAATGCTTCTGTTCTACCTCCTAGTACTTGCATAGTGCCTGAGGTCTTAAAAGCTTGCAAGCAGCCATCCAAGGCACAATACTTGGTCTCTACTAGCCTGAAGCAACAGAGGAAGAAGAGTCAGGATAGGAGGGGGATATGGAATATATGGCTAATTGCCTCCATGAACAACTGCCACCTTTGCCATGAGACCAGAAGAACTGGATGGTGCCCAGCTACTATTCCTGAACATTTTGATCAAAGATTCCATAGAAGAATCCTGATCAAAAGGGTGAAACTGCGGAACAGAATTTCAAATTCTTATGGACTTCAGACTTTCTGGAGCCATGTAGGTTGGATGAACCCACGAAACTATTGCCCTGACCCTGAAATCTTCTCTTCTTCTTCTTCTTTTTTTTGTTTTTTATTGTACTTTAGATGAAGGTTTACCGAGCAAAGTAGTTTCTCATTAAACAATTAATACACATATTATTTTGTGACATTGGTTGCCAACCCCACGACATGTCAACACTCTCCCTTTCTCAACCTTGGATTCCCCATTACCAGCTTTCCTGTCCCCTCCTGCCTTCTTGTTCTTGCCCCTGGGCTGGTGTGCCCATTTAGTCTGATTTTGTTTTATGGGCCTGTCTAATCTTTGACTGAAGGGTGAACCTCAGGACTGACTTCATTACTGAGCTATAAGTGTGTCCGGGGGCTATACTTTCAGGGTTTCTCCAGTGTCTGTCAGACCAGTAATTCTGGACTTAACCCCTAAAGTCTTCTTAAAACCAAACTGTAGTTTAGCTTAACTAGTAAAAAAAAGGTCTTCCTTGATCATTATGTTCTTATAAGAACTATCTATATGGGATCAAATTGACAAAAGCAACTAGAAAGATTAGACAGGAATCTTAGGGGGCAGGTAATTTATGTTAATGGAGGAGGAGCAACTAAGAAAAAGAGGGTGGGAATGGTTGCAAGCTCAAAGAATGTGGTCAGTGTCACTAAATGGTACATGTAGAAACTGGAATTGGTGTATGTTTTGCTGTGTATAGTCTCAATAACAACAACAAAAAAGCTCGCAGGAGATTAAGTCTGAGCTGGGGATGAGGATGAGGAGTTAGGAGGGTGGTTTATTTCCTCCCCCAGGTGGCTTTAAATGAGAATGACAAGCCTAGTTTCTTTGCTAAGAACGTAAATGTGTTATATTAAAAGTAAACAATACAATACAAAAGGATAATGTACCTCAATCTTTAATAGTTGAACTCCTTTCAAGTGAAGAAACTCTCATGAATCCCTCTAGGAATTTCAAAATTATTTTGCCATTTTGCATGGATTATGATAAAAACAACATAGAATTATATTTTTAATTATGAAATATTATAAAATTATGAGGTTTATATTAATAAAATAATTGTAATCTTAATTTTAACTTGTCCCCACTTAACTATGAAATTTATTTTAAATCAATACTAAAACAACAAGCTTGAGTTTGAAACCAAAAACCAAACCAGTTGCCGTCAAGTCTTTCTAACTCGTGACACCATGTGTACAGAGTAGAACTGCACTCCATAGGGTTTCAAGGCTGTGACCTCTGGAAGCAGATCACCAGGCCTTTCTTTGGAGTTGCCTCTGAGTGGGTTTGAACCGCCAACCTTTTGGTTAGTAGTTGAGTGCTTAACTGTTTGTACCACCCAGGAACTGCAAGTTTGCAACAAATGAATTTAAAAATAACATTTTATGCTTCTTTGGGACCAAGTATATATTAAAATATTGATAGAATTCTAATTATAATGTATTACCTAAATAGATAAAATCACTCTCATCTTCTGATAGATTTTTTACATTTTGTGATTTTAAAATCAACTGGATTATGTTTGTAAATTTTATTGTTTGTATTTAATTTCAAACATACAAACAGTACAGAGACTGATATAATACCCATGTACCTACCACCAGGATTTAAATTTAGTATTTTTCCCCAAATTTGCTTACTTATTTTCTTTCTATGCAAACTACATCCTTTAGAATTTTCTCAAGTGAGGGTTTATTAGTGGTCAACTTTATTTTACTATTAAGTTTAAAATATAATTTCATCCAGTATAAAATTCTAGTTGACAGTTAACATATTTCCTTGAATATAAGAAACAGTATTACTTTCTGCACCATTAAGAAACTTAAAAGTATGCTGCCGGTTAAACTATGCACAATATGAAGTGGCATCAGTTTTAAGATGTACCCCAATTTCAGAGAAATGAAAATGTGGGAAAAATGTGCATTTTAGAAATAGACAAAATATCGCTTTTTCTTTGTTCATTAAAGATACCATTCTGCTGTTTTCTGGCTTTTTTGTTACTGTTAAGAAGTCAGCAGTTTTTTTGTAATACGTCTTCTCTAGCGGCAGCTTTTAAGATTTCTTTCTCTGGTGTTCTGCAATTTCATTATGAGTGTGTAGGTAAGGAGTTCTTTTTATTTAACCTTCTTGGGATTTACTAGGGTGTGTGGATTGGTATCTTTAAAATATTTTGGAGAAGTCTCACATTTCTGCAAATATTGCCTTGTCCTCATTCTTTACATTATTTTCTTTTTGGACTCCAATTAGACATATTAGACATATGTTAGACTTTCTTACTCTATTCTCGGTGTCTTTAATCTCTCCTTCACATTGACTATTTATTTTTCCCTATATGCTATCCTCTTGATAATTTAGGTTTAGATAATTCAGATTTATCTTCAAGTTCGTTTTTCAGCAGGGTCTAGTCTGCTTTTTAATGTGTTCACTGAAATTTTAAATGTAATTTATCATAGTTTTCATTTCTAGAAGTTTTATTTGGTTGTTTCCCCAATATGTTTAGTTATTCTTTGCTGTCTCTTGTGGCTTAGTTGTATTTTCAAAGTTCTTGCTCTCTCTCTTTTTTTTAATATTTAAACATATTTATTTTGTATTCTCCTGTGCAAGTTCTTGTTCCTGATATTTTTATAGGCATAAAATTAGTTCTAAAACCTGACAACTTTAGAAAAATATATTTTGTACCTTTAGTGTGTTAAGTACCAGGTTATACATTTGTATACTTTTTAGCAATTTAGGTTAATAATACATTTTTCTTGGTTTCATTTGAATTATACAAACTTTGTACCAAAAATTACACTAATTACAGTTTAGAATAATTGTACACCTTTTTGACAATATAGGGAGATATTGTAATACAGCTAAATACCTGCTCACTTTTACGCTCAGTTTAGGTATTGCAGAAACACAAAACTGATGTTCATTTACTGAACTCAAGTATTAAAAGAATTTGTGTGAAGATATAATGCATAGGAATAGATTTGTAACCAGAAATAAAGCAAATACTGTGAAATCTTTCATCAATGACCTTCTAATAGTTCAAGATTCTGTGGTTTTATTTAGATGTGAGGTATTTCCCCAGATATTTTACGTTTGTTTTTGTGATTCCTGTACTCTCAGAAATTATGTATATTTAGATGTACTACATTTACTTATGGCTGGTGCTATAAACTATTGTCATGTAAGTAATAATTTTTAGAAAAAAAGTAAGTAGGCTTTTAGATTATCATGTTGCTTGATATTTTCCTGGGACCTGTTGTGTTAGGTAGGGAAGCACCTTAAAATGAACATTTTAAGCTTCCATCCTATTTAGAGCTGCCCAACTGGACTTTGTGTGAGCTTGGTTTTGATCTGGAGGGGCTGCTCAAGCACATGTCTAGGTGATTAATCTGCAATTTCCCTTTACAGGCTGGTTTTGACCCACCTCTTGAAGTGGTTCCTGCCAAGAACCCAATCAGGTGCAACAAAAGGGCAGCTGACCCAGTCCATCCTGACCTTGCTGGTTTGCTGGTGAAAAACAAGAATCTTTTAGCTGAGGTATACGGATTATCCAAGAATAAAACACCATGGGAAATTATATCCTTTATAAAAGCAGGGAGAGAACCATTCTGATAAAATGCTCAAAGTATTATTTTAACTCAGTTTTGCTTTTTTCTCAATATTGAGTTCTCTTGTCACTGAGGAGCACTGATTTAGACCTAAACCTGTCTTTTGCCAGAGAACTTCCTTTAAAGATGGTGCATAGTTGAGTGCTTTTGAATTGGCTGCCAAATGTTGGAGTGTTAGAACCTCGCTATGGACTGACATGCTCAAAATTTATATAATAATAGTAACTAGTTACATGTATTAAACAATTTTATCAGGGAGAATGAATTCTCATTTTCAATATACCACTAGTATCTCCACTGGTTTTATTTAGTATTTGATGAAATGTCTGAACAACGTAACTAGATAAAAAGGAAAGATAGTAACATTTGTAGGAAATGCGTTCACTTTTATTCCCTGTGATGAAGACTATAGAGTGCTTATAGAAATGCTTCAGTTGAGCCTTGCCCTCAGGACATTTGGTTGCAAGAGACAGTCTCATAAGTAAACAAGGTCAGAAGCTCAAAGGCCATTGTCATCCTTAAGAGTACTATGATGTGACTAGTTACGTATACTGCCTCTATGGTTAACTGTAAATGAATTTATCGGAGTATTTACATATATAGATCACTCACCAGCCCATTGCGTAAGCAGCTTTCTTTTGTTGTTGTTCTTGGCTGCCATCAAGTTGACTCCAACTCATGGCAACCTGATGTACAAAAGAACAAAACATTTCCCTGTCCTTCATCATCCTCACAATTGCCAGCAGGTTCAAGTCCATCGTAGTGGCCATCGTGCCAATCCATCTCACTGAGGGTCTCATACCCTCGTTGACCCTATATTTTACCAACCATACGTCCGCCCCTAACGATCGATCCCTTCTGATGACATGTCCAAAGCAAGCAAGCAAGCAATTCAGACAGAGTTCTATTGTGATCCATTAGGTTTTCTTTGACTAATTTTCAGAAGGAGATCTCCAGGCCTTTCTTCCTAGTCTGTCTTCTGTCTTAGTCTGGAAGCTCCACTGAAACCTGTCCACAATGGGTGGTCCTACTAGTATTTGAAATACCAGCGGCATAGTTTCCAGCATCATAGCAACATGCAAGCCAATACAATACAACAAAGTGACAGATGGGTGGTGGAAGTAGCTTTCTAAGGTGGCCTTATTCTCCTGGGCCTCTTTTCTGCCCAAGAATTTATTAACGGTCTTTTCTGTTATCTCACCTGATTCCAGATGTTATTTAATAGATGTAAATTTGGATATAGATAAATATCAACCCAGTGATGTCAAGTCGATTCCGACTCACAGTGACCTTGTAGGACAGACAGAGTAGAACTACCCCATAGGGTTTCCAAGACTGTAAATCTTTATGTAAGCAGGCTGCCACATCTTTCCCCCACAGAGCAGCTGGTAGGTTCGAACTGCTGACCTTTTGGTTAACAGCTGAGCACTTAACCACTGTGCAACCAGAGCTCCTGGATAGATAAATATATATCTTACAATTTTATCTATGCTAATGCTTTCCCTCTTTTAACATACAGGGGTGAATGGAGCTTAAATTTTAATGGAATTTCTATAGCCACAGTAAATCTCAACATAACTTTGAGAGATTTCTTACATTTTTTTAATATTCAAAAATTTATACACAAATTGTTTTTGTGACATTGGATGCAATCCCCGCAATGTGTCAGCACTCTCCCCTTTCTCTTTACACCCTGGGTTCCCCGTGTGCATTCATGCAGGTTTCCTGTCGCTTTCTGCCTTCTTGTCTTTGCTTTGGGGCAGATGTTGCCCATTTGGTCTCGTAGACTTGATTTAACTAAGAAGCACGTTCCTCACGTGTGTTATTGTTTGTTTTATAAGGCCTGTCTAATCTTTGGATGATAGGTGGGCTTTGGGAGTGGCTTCAGTTCTGAGTTAGCAGAGTTTCCGGGGGCCATAGTCTCAAGGATTCCTCCAGTCTCTGTCAGACCAGTAAGTCTGGTCTTTTTTTGTGAATTTGAGTTTTGTTCTACATTTTTCTCCAGCTCTGTCCAGGACCCTCTATTGTGATTTATTTCAGAGAGGTTGGTGGTGGTAGTTGGGCACTATGCAGTTCTGGACTCAGGCTGGTGGAGGCTGTGGTTCATGTGATCTTACGTTGGTTTTTTTCGTTCAGAAAAATGTGATGCCAATCCTTGAAACTGTGGCAATTTTTATTATGGGTAGCATCCTCCTTCTCCTCTACAGGAAAACTTTCTATTAATACTTAAGAAGTTTGGGATTTTTTATAATTCAGATTTGAATTAAATGTTATATCTGCATAATTAATAAAAGAAAGAAAAACTTTTGAAAACAAATTGTCCAAAAGGATTGTAGGTACCTTGCTTAAATAAATTATGTAAGCTATATTCAAGAATTTCAGAGTATTTTTAAAAAGCAACTCTACATAAATGCACATAAATCATATGCCAACTACAAATGTTTATCAATTAGTCAAAACAGGTATTGAAGAAGCTCTACGAGGTCACATCTTGGCTTGGTTTTAGATACTATATGTATTGAAAAGTATTCCATAGTTCATATTGGCATTTTCTACATTTAATTCGAATTAGTGACATTTATTGCAGGATTTCCCTGTGGTAACTTTTTTCTTGTTTTTTTTTTTTTTTTTAATGTAATGATTTCAACAGAACACCTGAGCTTCGGCATGAGTCATCTTTACCTTTTCCAATAACCTGTTATTTAATCCCATAGGAATACAATTGTCTTGATAAGGCAGTTTTTCTCTTCACTGCGTGCATTTAAAATTATCATCATGTATTTGTGCCCAATAATGGAGAAACAGCTGCAAGAGAGTTATTTGAGAAAAGCCAGGTATAGAAGGGATAAATATTACATATTCACTTGGTGATTGTGTTGCCTTAATTTAGGAAATATGATATAGAGCTAAAACCTTTGCATAGTGCTAGACAGGCTGCTGTTGTAGTAGAAATGAATTAAAACAGCTTGAAAATTTGCATTGATAAAGTATACTAAGACCCAGTGTCTTAGAAATCTAATGTGTTCTGCCAATACTTTTTAATTTGGTTTTCATGCAAACTTTTATTTGTGAGGGAATTATGACTGTATTTATGCAGATAAGCTGTTTTTCTTCCCTTAGCTTAGTCATAAAGCAAATAGTGGAAACCTAGAAGGTGTAGCCAGTCCTAGAAAAGGTGAATGGTGGAAATATAAATTTTGCAGCTAAAAAAAAAATATCAGAATTATTATTTGTAATGGAAAATTTCAGTGAGATAATTATAGACTCACTTGCGGTTGTAAGAAATGATGCAGAGAGACCCCTTGGGCACTTTTCCCAACTTCCCTAATGAAAAAATTTTACAAAACTATAGTTTAATGTAGCAACCAGAATATTGACACTAATGCTATCTACCAATCTTATTCTGATTTCTCCAGTTTTTCTTGTACTCACGGTGTGTGTGTGTATTAAGTTCTATACAACTCTATTACCTGTGTTAATGCATCCACCACTGCAGTCAAGATGCTGAATGACTTCAACACCGCAAGAATCCCTCATGCTGCCCTCTTATGTCCATACCTACTTCCTTCCCACATCCAAACCCTGGCAACTACTGTTCTCTCCTCTGCTCTTAAAATATGGTTATATCAAAAATGCTGTATACTCAAAAAGTTCAAAGTAGTGTTACCATGTGATCCAGCAATTCCACTGCTAGGTACATAGAGAATTGAAAACATATGATCACACAAAAACTTGTACATGAATGTTCATAACAGCATTATTCATAGAGTCAAAAAGTAGAAAAATACCTAAGTGTCCATCAACTGATGAATGGATAAGCAAAAGATGTTATATCCGTACAGTGGAATATTATTCAGCCATACAAAAGAATGAAGTACTGATGCATGCTGCAAAATGAATGAACCATGAAAACATGGTGCTAAGTGAAAGAAACCACATATACTGTATGATTGCATTCGTATGAAATGGCCAGAATAGGCAAAATCCATACAGATAGAAAGATTAGTGGTTGCCAGAGGCTGGGGGAAGGGAGAAACAGTGAGTGACTGCTAATGGTATGGGGTTTCTTTTGGTGGTGATGAAGATGTTCTGGAATTATACAGTGGTGGTGGTTGGATGGTTGGAGTGCAGTACTACTCTGAAACATGGGGTTGCCATGAGTTCGAATTGACTAGATGGCAACTGTGTTTTTTTTGATGGTTGGACAACCTTATAAATGTACTAAAAAAATTAATTGTACATGTTAAAAAGGTGAATTTTATGATATGTGAATTGTATTTCAATAAGCAAAAGTGGGGAAAAAATCAATCCAATGTGGTTGAACAACTCTCTAAATAAGTTAAAAAACACTTAGCTGTATACTGTAAATTGGTGAATTTATGAATTATATCTCAATAAAGCTGTTTTTAAAATGTTATATAAATGGAGTCTTGTGTAAACTTTTGGGATTGGCTTTTTCACTCAGCATAATTCCCTGGGGATTTATCTAAGTTGTTGCCATGTGTACCAGTTTTTGGCTATTACGAATAAAGCTGCTGTGAATATTCACGTACAGGTTTTTGTGTAAGCATAATTTTTCATTTCTCTGAGACAAATGCCCAAGAGCATAATTGCTGGGTTGTATGGTAATTGTATGTTTCATTTAATAAGAAACTGCCAAATTGTTTTCCAGAGTGGCTGTACCATTTTACATTCCCACCAATAATGTATGAGTGATCTAGTTTCTCCTTATCCTAGCCAGCATTTGGTGTTGTCATTATTTTTTATTTTAGACATTCTGATATGTGTGTAGTGGTATTTCATGTAACTTTAATTTACATTTTCCTTATGGCTGATGATGTTTAATATATTTTTTATGTGCTTATTTGCTAGCTGTATATCCTTTTTGGTAAAGTTTCTGCTCAAGTCTTTTGCCCATTTTCTAATTGGATCATTTGTTTTCTAAACAATGTTGAGTTTAGAGAGTTCTTTGTATATTCTGATACAAGTCCTCTGTTGAACAATTTTTATTAACAGACCATATTTCAGTTTTGGGGGTAGCCTGAATTTAGTTAAGTCCTGAACATATTTTTGGTTTATTATGTCCAAATATAACATCAAACTACTGAAAGTTTGGGATCTTTGCCATAAAACTAATGCAGGAGTGTTTTAAGATCTTAGAGTTTGCAATCACTATTTACAAGGAGAAAGTAGAAAACTAAAACTAGCCTCTGGAAGGCTAATTGACAATGTAAGTCATCATAAGCAAGATTAAACTAAATCTAGAATCAGTGTTGTTTCTAGTCTGCTACTTGACTCTGAGACTCATGTTTACTTTAGGTACTTTTCAAAAAACCAATAGAGTATCTTCAATTATACCTAGCATTAACTAAGAGGATAAGTAAAAATGAGACCTTAACATACAGTTCTTATATCCATACAGGGAGTTGGGGCCATTGCATTTCACAACTCTAGGGGACATTATTTACATGGTATTCTATATAAATGGTGACCACTGCAATGCAGACAACCCCCTACTTACTGGTCAAGGTAATGCTGAAGACTTGAGCAATTATTGTTATTAGCAGAAGTTGGGATCCATAATTTGATAAGAATAGAGTTCCAACTCAACATTTGCTGAGGCTCTACCATGTGCAAAGTGCTAAAAAGTGGCACATGGAGGTGAGGATGGAAAAATAAATGATTCAACCTGCAAGAAAATTAGAAAGTGGGGAGACAGACATAAACAATAAGGGGAAACACAAGGTAAACTCCATGAGTGCTAAGTAGAAGATAGGCTTCTTACAGGTAGTGGCAGTTAAGATGAACCTTGAAGCATATAAAGGATTTTACAGAGGTTGAAAAGAGGGGTGTCAGAACAGAAAAGTAGATTAGTGCCCATGGAGGAGCTAGAATAACATGATATATGAGTTTGCAGTCAATGAGGACTCATCACAGATTTCTGAGGAGTGGAGTGATAATATAAGATCTGAGACAACAATTGAGGACAGAAATAGATACCCTTTCCTTGTGTTCCCAGAGCATTCTTTTCATACCTTTTATGGTAAAATCATTTGTTTGTCTAATTATTTGTTTTTATATTGGTCTTGCTGGCCGAGCTGGGAAAATCTTGAGGTCTTAATCTTCTTTGGATCCTCAGAGCCCAGCACATGCCTGGAACATAGAAGGCACAAGGCTTGTTTGTTGAATGAATGAAAAGGTGGCTTAGATACATGCTAGATTGGAGACAGGGAGACCACTGTAGCAGTGCATGAGACAGAATGAGGTCCTGACATTAGGCAATGGCAACAGGCATGGGAAGAAAGAGGTAGATATGAGACATAGTAGAGGTAAAATTAACAGACTTAGTGACTTGAGGGGGAGAGTAAAGAAAAAGGGCAATTAAGAATGACTCTGATTTAACATTTTTAATAAGAATATAAATGCATTTAAACTTTCCATTTATAAAATATTTTATCTTGTCTTTTTAAAAGGTATTTCTAAAAGATCTTTAATAGAGTATTTAAATCATTATTTTAAGTAAATTAATTTATGATTAAATAAGCAGGTCTTAAAACAGGGTCTGATTGGTAATATGTAGACTTTGGGATGAAACAAATCACATATTTTGATAATAAATAGAAACTGACAGATGAATGCCTGGAGGGAAGGACTGGAGGTGCTCAAGAAGTGCTTCTCTTCTTTGTAAATAGCTCCTTTACAATTGCTAAAACAAAGAATGCAAGGTTTCCTTCATGTTGAAAATGTAAGAAGGGGGACGATATCCTATCCTAGAGTTTAGCACAAATTAAATTATTTCAAAGCATTTTATTATTGTGTTACAGGAGGCAGAGTTCTCTTAACTAATTTCTTTTCTCTAGAGTTTATTATTTTACAAATGGTTTCAGTCTATTCTAAGAGTTGGAGTTTCATGATGCTGTAATTTTTTAAGGACTTCTGTCCACACTACTTCAGACAGCAAAACTGGTTTCAGAATTTTGTCACAGCATCATCAAAAACTGAATTCAGACTATGAGCGATTCACCATTGAGAAACAGAGTTTTAATTCTCATGAAATCTAGATTTCTGGGTTCCATGGAGGTTGGAGTGACCCACCCAGACCTGAGCCTTGAGAGAACTGGTTTCCCAAAGTCAACTTTGAGTCAATCAATGGTCTATAAAAATTGTTAAAGACAGTTTTTGCCGTAGGCATTGTGCTTTTTGAAGAAGTGTCTGTGTGCAGTCAGTTTTGATAAGCAGAAGCTCCAAGGTCAGACTAGAAGCTATGTTTTAAGGTAAATTGTCATTATATAAACACTGTTCTGGCCCTGTTTCCATGGCAATGTTGATAAGATGGGGTATAAGAATCTTTGGAAGTTCTTTCCTCTTTGGAGCATTTTTGACTCACTAATTGAAATTGTATATTAAATAAACTTCAATCAGTTTCTATTATTGGCTTAATATGATTTTTCTTTTAACATCCTTCACAGTTTTTCCTTCCTGCTGTCTTCCTCAAACACCAATCTGTGCTGGCTCTCCTGTGTCACTTTCCCTCCCATAAGCCATCACTCTTACTTCCCTTTATAACTTTATGATCTCTCATTTCCTTTATTTGCCTTTTAAAAATATAATCAGTTGAAGCCTTGTTCTTTCTCCTGACTCTCCTCTTAACCTATTTTTTGATCAGCACAGATAAGGCAAGGAACCAAGTGGTATAACCATAGGCTCCTCTTTAGGCAAGAGGACTATGAATACATTCCCCTTTAGGACACACTGTAAAGCAAAATACTTGTGGCCCAAAGCAGCAGGTATCTATGCCTCTTTTCTGCTGGCAATTATAGAATTCATTACTGGTACAATTTAGTAACCAAAAACAATTTTAATGTCGATAAGAATAAAATCACATGTTCCAAACCATATGTGCCAATTTGGTTTTATTTTTAAAATGTTTTGAACACTAGAATATACTTGAATTATATTTGAAAGGCTCCATTTTATTGTGTAGTATTGTCTAGCTTAAATACCCATCATGATTTAAAATCATGACTTTTTAAAATGAAAATTGTAAATGATTTTAACTAATACTTTCCCTTTCTCACTAGCTAAGAAATGTTCAAAACAAACTTCTCATAAAAGAAACTTCATTGCAAGAGATGAGATCTGAGCTAGAAAGTTACAAAGAAAATAATGTGCAACAGTTGTTCCAGATAATGTCCCTGAAAGATGATATCAAGGACCTAGAGGAACTTATTGCTTCTCTAACCAGAATTAAGTCTTTGAAAAACACCGATATTCAGAGTCTTGAAAGAGGCAACTGGGATTTAACTGAACAAATTATAGAACTAGAAAATCGTCTAAGGTAGGGTATTTACTAGTTTTTTTTCAACCATATCTCTTGTTATTAGTTTGCAAATAGTATATAAGCTCCATACTCCTAACTGATCACAGAACTTAAATCTACCAGGATTTCACTTAATACTTGACCCAACATTATTACATTTAATAAAACAACATTTTTTATTGAGATATAATTCACCATAAAATTCCCTCTTTTGAGTGAAAATATAATTTTATGAGTGAATTATAATTCACCCATAAAATACAATTCAGCGGTTGTGGAACCATCACCACTATATAATTCCAGAGCATCTTCATCACCCCCAAAAGAAACCCCAAACCCATTAACAGTCACTCCTCTTTTGCCCCCCGCGTACCTCCAGGTCCAGGCAACCACTAATTTACTTTCTATCTGTATGGATTTGCCTATTCTGGACATTTCATGTGAATGGAATCATATAATAGGCGGCCTTTTCTGTCTGGCTTCTTTCACTTAACATGTATCAGTACGTCATTCCTTTTTATGACTGCATAATATTCCGTTATATGAATATAGCACATTTTGTTTAGCCATTCAGTTGATGGACATTTGGGTTTCCACTTTTTTACTATTATGAATAATTCTGCTATGAACATTCATGTACAAGTTTTTGTGTGAATATATGTTTTCTTTTCCCTGTATATACCTTAGGAATGGACTTGCTGGGTCATAAAGTAACTCTATGTTTAATCTTTTGAGGAACTGCCAGGCTATTTTCCAAGGCAGCTGCTCCATTTTACATTCCCATCAGCAATGCATGAGGATTCCAATTTCTCCACATCCTCACCAACACTTGTTATTGTTTGTCTTTTTAATTATAGCCATCTAGTGGGTATAATGTGATATTTTATTGTGATTTTTGATTTGCATTTACCTCATGAATAAAGAAGAAGCCCTGGTGGTGCAATGGTTAAGTGCTCAGCTGCTAATCGAAAGGCTGGCAGTTCGAACCAGTGGCTCTGCTGGAGAAAGACCTGACAACCTGCTTCTGTAAAGATTACAGCCAAGAAAATCCTATAGGATAGCTCTACTCTGTCACATGGGGGCTAGGAGTTGAAATCAACTAGATGGCATCCAACAGCACAACAACAACAACGACTAAAGAGGTCCCTAGGTGGCGCAAATGGTTTGTACTTGACCGCTAACCTAAAAGTTGGTGGTTTGAACCCACCCAGTGGTACCGCAGATGAAAAGGCCTGGTGATCTACTTCTGAGATTGCAGCCAAGAAAACCCTATGGAGCAGTTCTATTCTGTAACAAATGGGGTCGCTGAGAGTCAAAATCGACTCACTGGCAATTAACGACAACAACAATAACTAAAGATGTTGAGCATCTTTTCATGTACTTATTGGCCATTTGTGTATCTTCTTTGGAGAGAGATCTATTCAGATCCTTTCCCCTTTATGTTGCTGATTTTGCTTTTGTTGTTGATTGGTGACTTGGGAGTTCCCACGTGTACAGAGTACAACTGCTCCTTAGGGTTTTCTTGGCTGTAATCTTTATAGAAGCAGATTGCCAGGCAAGACCTGTTTCTTCCATGGTGCCACTGAGTGGGTTTCAACTGCCAATCTTTTGGTGACCAGCCGAGTGCAAACAATTTACACCAGCCAGGCACAATTGCCCCTTTTTAAAATTGGTTGTTTTTTTTATTGTTGAGTTGTAAGAGTCCTTTATATATTCTGAATATGAGACCCTTATCAGATATATGATTTGCAAATATTTTCTCCCAATCTATGGGTTGTCTTTTCACTTCTTAATTTTATACTTTTTCCGTTTCTTATTGGCATCTTTCTGGGTCCTTATACTTAATGTATATCTCTTGCAAAATGCATATCATTAGTTTTTTTTCATTTTATTTATTTTGTTGTTGTTGAGAATATACACAGCAAAACATACACTAATTCAACAGTTTCTACATCTACAATTCAGTGACATTGATTACATTGATTGCAACCATTCTCACCCTCCTTTTCCAAGTTGTTCCTCCCCAGTAACATAAACTCACTGCCCCCTAATATTCCCATCTGATCTTTTGAGCTGCTGTTGTCAATTTGATCCCACATAGATAGTTCTTAAAAGAGCATAATGCTCAGGGCAGACATTTTACTAGTTAAGCTGAACTACTGTTTGGTTTTAAGAAGATTTCAGGGGATATTTTTGGTTTAAAGTTCAAAGAGTATCTCAAGGCAATTATTTCAGGGGTTCGTCCAACCTTCATGGCTCTAGAAAGTCTGAAGTCCATAAGAATTTGAAATTCTGTTCTGCACTTCCCCCCTTTTGATCAGGATTCTTCTATAAAATCTTTGATCAAATGTTCACTAATGGTAGCTGGGCACCACCCAATTCTTCTGGTCTCATGGCAAAGGAGGCAGTTGTTCATGGAGGCGATTAGCCACACATTCTATTTCCTCCTCCTATTCCTGACTCTCCTTTTTCCTCTGTTGCTCCAGGTGAATAGAGACCAATTTTTATGCCTTGGATGACCACTTGGAAGCTATTAAGACCCCAGGCACCACTCAGTGAGCTAGGAGGTAGAACAGAAGCACTAAACATGTTATTAGGCCAATTAACTGGGATGTCCCATGAAAACATGACCTTAAACCTCCAAACCAAGGAACCAAATCCCATGAGGTGTTTGGTTGCATGTAAGCAGCCTCAGCAGCTACTCTTTTGTTGTTGTTGTATCATTGGTTTTTTTCTCATATACTTTATTTTTGTTTCATTAGTTGTTTTTTAAAAATTCAGTCTGGTAATCTTATCTTTTAACTGCAATGTTTAGACCATCTACTTCTAAAGTAACTACTGAAATTGTTGGATTTAAGTCTACCATATTTATTGTTTATTTTACCCATCTGTTCTTTGTTCCTTTATTATTCCTTACTGCTTTCTTTTGGATTACTTAAGTTTTTTTATTATTCCATTTCCTCCTGTATTAACTTTTTAATATCTTTAAAATTGTCATTTAGTTTTTACCCTAGACCCTATGATTTCAAAATGTGCATTTAATTTAGTACAATCTACTTTAGATTAGTACTTTTATGACTTCCCCCCAAAATAAGAACCTTATGACAATTTAATTCCATTTATCTGCCTCACACCCTTGTACTATTATCATATATTTTACTTTTCCCATATGTTATGAATGCATAAGATTTTCTTTAAAATTAGTTGTCACTATTAATTTCTATTTTCCTGCAAATTCACCTTTTCTGGTGCTCTTCATTCCTTCCTATAGTTCTGTGCAGCCACCAGGGATCATTTTTCTTTATCCTGAAAAATTGCCTGTAGCGTTTCTTACAGCACGGCTCTTCCATCAGTGAATTTTTCTTCTGAAACCATGTTTCATCACCACCTGTGGAGGGTATCTTCACTGAGTATAGAATTCTGGGTTGGCATTATTTGTTTGTTTCAGCACTTTAAGATGTCACTCAGTTATCTTCTGTCTTGTAGTTTCTGTTGAAAAGTCAGCCCTCAGTCTTACTGTTGTACCTTTGAAAGTAATGTGTACTTTTCCTCTGGCTACTTTTAATTGTTAGCAATTTGACTATGATGTGGCCTAGTGTGGCTTTCTTTGTATTTATTCTGCTTGGAATTTCAGGGCTTATTGAATATGTCAATTGATGTCTTTCATCAGGTTTGGAAAATTCTTAGGAATTCTTTTATCAAATATTGTTTCTGTCCCATTCTGTCTGTGTTCTTACTCTAGGACTGCAATTACAGGTACGTTACACCTTTTGAATATGTCCTGTATGTCTCCAAGATAATTCTTTAATTAAATTTTTCTTCTCAGATAAGTTGGATAATTTGCATAACCTCTTTTGACCTGACTCAAAGTCACTAATTCTGTAGGATGCAATTCTTAGGCAGAAGAGAACATAAGAAATATGGAAGTAGGGCTAAAATATTACCAGGTTAGTTTTGCGGTAGAGGAGCCCTGATGGCACAGTGGTTAAAGCATTTGGTTGCTAACTAAAAGGTCAGCAGTTCAAACCCACCAGGCACTCCGCAGGAGAAAGATGTGGCAGTCTGCTTCTGTAAAGATTTACAGCCTTGGAAAACCTATGGGGCAGAGTTCTACTCTGTCCTATAGAGTCGCTGTGAGTCAAAACAGATTGACAGCAATGGGTTGGTGGATTGGTTGCTTGGTTAGTTTATGGGTAGGAGATATTACCAATACCTAGAATAAAAATAAGAACCAAACAATTAGTCTTTTGCATATCTAAACGGTTTGTATATCTGATGATAAAACAAGTTTTCACATATGCTATTATTTATTACTGTTATCATTATGTCTAATTCCTTTTCCCATCATCAAATTCCAGTTGAAGACTCTATTTCAGATATTTTAAAATAGGAGTGCTTGTATTCATGTGGGATCTCTGGTCATCACAATAGTACCATAGTGCCAAACTATTTATACCCAAATTTCCCATTGAAAAGAATGGTTTCAAAATTGACCTCCCGTAGGGGAACTACCACAGGACTTATCACTGGATTGTTTTTCTCTCCATTTCTCTGCCATTTCTAGTCTCTGCCTACAAACAGATAACTGGACAGCTGTTTTCATAAGAAATACATTTTGGCTTGAGACATATATTTAAGATATTTTAAATGTGCATATGTTTCTTTTTTTTTAATGAAATTTTAAAATTGGTTGAGTTTTTTCATGATATTGTTACTATTGATATCTTACACAGGGTACATCTGGTTGAAAGGGAAAAGGCAGAGCGTAAGGCAGATTTTTTGGAAAAAAAGTTAAGTGCCAACAGATGCACCCGTTATATGAATATGAAAGGACAAGAAGATTCCATGGATATTTTCATGACGACGGTAAGACCAAGTTTTGATTGATTTTTGAAGAAACAGGATTTTTATTACCTTCTGTTACTCTAGGAGATAAATGATAAATGTTGAATAATTTGTTGGTCATCTTCTTAATGGAGAATCAAAAAAAGCAATACAGCATGGTTGATTGGGAAACCTTTCTGATGTATGGAGATAAAGTACAACAAGTGCCTAAAGGTCTCTGTGATACTGAAGAAAAGATATAGAGGGAATGGGGCTGTGAGAGAGGTGAGAGGAGAGAAGATGGTTAGAGACTGAAATAAATTGTTTTAAATGTCATCTTGCTGATCACAAAATCTAGGTTTTGGGATCTGGTGTGGGTGGTTGAAGAGGACTATAGGTGAAAGCATTGAAACTAAAGAAGCACAGGAATCACAAAGCTAAATTGTTGGATAGGTCATCTACATTGGCCACTGAAATCTAGGATATGGTGTGGGATAAGTTAGAAGAAGAAAGTGAGCCTGGTTCCCAGTAGATAGTGATTCATAGGATGAATAGAAGATTTTCTAGAATCCTGGTGGAAGAGGATGGGAGACAGACTGTTGTCAAGAAAATGGTGAAAGTTTGTTTCAAAATTCTTAGACTACAATAGTTTGTATTATAATATAAACCCAGAAAACCAAACCCACTGCCATGAGTTGGTTCTGACTCATACGATCCTATAGGACAGAGTTAAACTGCCCCATTGGATTTCCAAGGCTGTAAATCTTTACAGAACCAGACTGCCACATCTTTCTCCCACAGAGCAACTGGTAGGTTCGAACAGCTGACCTTCTGGTTAGCAGCTGAGCGTTTTAACCACTGCATCACCAGGGTTCAGTTTATAGTATAATAGTTGTATAATATAATAATATAGTATAGTATAATCTGAATGTAAAACAAAGTCCTCCATTTACATGGGGGGTTCCATTAAAAAAAATTTCAGCAATGCTTTCAAAATAGCTAAAAGTAATTTCAATCTTTATTTGCTCTCTCAAGCGATTCACAGTAACATTTCTCTTACAGATCCCTCACATCTCTTTAAAAACTCTCCCACATCCAGTGTCCAGGCAGGTCTGAAATTTTCTTCCCCTTCTCTTTTAGTCTGCCTCTTTTTTCTAGGCTTTTACTGATGCAAATTCATCATTACTTCAACAATTCTAGCTCTCCATCCATTTCCTAGTTTCACCTGACAAAAAGCCCGGGAACTTTACTTGCTTACTCAACTCCCAGAGTTGAAGATGACAAGAAGGTGAAAAGAAGGCTATGTAGAATTTATAAAGGTAGAATTCTCCTGTGGGAGGTGGAGGGAAAGGAGATTTATAAGCATTATCTTTTTTTTTTTTTTCCTGTCATATTTACAATGGAAGTAGGATGATTACAGGCAGCACAAAGGAAAGGTTTGGGGAAAGAAATATGAAGAATTGGTGTGATAAAGACCAAACTAAAAAACCAAACAGTTGCCATCGAGTCGATTCCAACTCATAGTGACCCGCTAGAACAGAGAAGAACTGCCCAACAGGGTTTCCAAGGAGCAGCTGGTGGATTCAAACTGCTGAGCTTTTGATTAGCAGCCATAGCTCTTAACCACTGCACCACCATAACCACAGTGCCACCAGGGCCAGAAGGGAGTAAAAGGATAGGACAGTTTGGATGATGAGGTAGGTCGTTTAAGTATAATAATGGTAGTTAAAGGGATCCTAGGATTTTGGATATATTTTGAAATTTAAGACAACAAAATTTTCTTATATTTAGTAGTAATGTCTCTTTAGTTTTTTTTTTTTTGTGTGTGGTTTACATTAGTTTCACAACCTTTCTTTCATAATATTGTCATTTTTTAAAAAATAAAGGCCAGTTGTTTTTTAGAATGTCCCTTAGTTTGAGCTTGTCTGATCTTGTTTCCTCATGATTAGATTCAGGTATGCATTTTTGGATGGCACACTGTATACATGATGTTTTGTCCTTCTCAGGTTATCATCTCCAGAAGTACATAACATTTTTTTAACCCTTTTTGGTGATGCTAATTTGATTACTTGATTGTTATGGATTGAATTGTGTTTCCCAAAAATATGTGTTGTAAATCCTAACCTCTATGCCTGTGGTTATAATCCCATTTGGGAATGAGTTGTCTTTGCTATGTTAATGAGGCAGGATTAGTGTAGGGTGTGTCTTAAATCAATTTCTTTTGAGATATAAAAAAAAATAAGCAAGCAAGAGAAGCAGAGATGGGGGAAGACTGATGCCAAGCCACGTGGAAATCTGGAAGGAACCAGTAAATAAGCTGAAGAGGCAAGGATCTTCCCAAGGAGCCAACAGAGAGAGAAAGCCTTCCCTTAGAGCTGGCACCCTGAATTTGGACTTCTAACTTCCTAAACTGGGAGAAAATAAATTTTTGTTTGTTAAAGCCATCCACTTGTGGTATTTCTGTTATAGCAGCACTAGATGACTAAGAATTTGGTACCGAGAAGTAGGACTGCTGCTCTAAGAGATACTTAAAACGTGGGAGTGGTTTTGCAATTGAGTTTTTTCTTCTCTTCTTTTTATTGTGCTTTAGGTGAAAGTTTACAGGAGGCTGGAAGAGTTTTAAGGTGCTTAATGGTAAAAGCCTAGATTGCCTTGAAGAGACTTTTGGTAGAATTGTGGATGTCAGAGACAATTCTGGTGAGGGCTCAGAAGGAAATGAGGAGAGCTATAGAGAAAGTCTCTGTCATATTAGAGAATACATATGGCACCAGCAACAGAATGTTGCTAGAAATGTGGACATTAAATGTGCTTCTGGTGATGCTTTAAAAGAAAATGAACATGAGATTGGACAATGGAAGAAGAGCAGTGGCAAATAAGTTTTCTGAATTATGTTCAAGTGTTTGGTAGAAGGTAGAACTTGTAAGTGATGAACTTGGATATGTAGCTGATGAAACTTCTAAGCAAGATCTTAAACAGACCACATGGTTTCTCCTTGCCACTTACAGTAAAATGTGAAAGAGATGGACTTAAAAATGAACTGTGCAAAATGAAAACAGAACTGAAAGATTTGGAAAATTCTGCTTAGTACCATAGTCTCGTGGAACAACTCGGTCAGTTGGCATGATATAGTTCATAAAGTTTATGTTTCCTACATTCTTGTTTGGTGAGTAGTGTCTGGGGTCATAAAAGCTTACAAGTGGCCATCTAAGGTACAACTATTGGTCTCTACTAGTTCAAAGTAAAAGAGAAAGAAGGAAACCAAAGGCTCAAAGAAGAAACTAGTCTTCAGGACTAATAGACTACATGAACCACTGCCTCATCTACCCTGAGACCAGAAGAACTAAATGGTGCCTGGCTACTACTACCGATCGTTCTGATCAAGGTCACAATAGATGGATCCTGAAAGAATGGGAGAAAAAGGTGGAACAGAACCTCAAATTCCTAAAAAAAAATCCAGACTTACTGGATCGGTATAGTCTGGAGGACTCCCTGAGACTATTGCCCTGAGATACCAAAACTAGCCCTTGAGGTCACCTTTTAGCTAAATAACAGACTGGCTCACAGAGAATATCAACCACGAGTACTGTGCTCCTTTAAAATATTGTCTATTGAGACCAAATGGTCAACAACTACTTTAAAACAAAGATGAGAGGGTAAGGGGGAAGAGAAACTAGATTAATGGAAATGGAATAGCCAGAAGGGAAATAATGAGAATGTTCACACATTGTGAAGAAGGCAACAAATGTCACTGAACAATTTGTGTGTAAATTGTTGAATGGGAACATAAACTGCTATGTAAACCTTCACCAAAAACACAATAAAATATTATTTAAAAAAAAAAGATTTGGAAAATTCTGTTGTACAAACTAAGGACGTGCGTCCTAGAATGTACACCAACGATGGGGCTGTACAAACTTTTGTAAAAGAGATTAAGCCTGTGATGATGGATCTAACCAACTACCACAGCAGAAAACCATCAGCTTAGACTGAAGGGGACAGAGAAAGATCGAAAGGAAAGAATGCTATCTGCCTCTTGGAATTCTACAGGCAGGAAATAGGCCAAAGGAGCTACATGTGTTGTCCTCCAAGAAAAGAAAGGGACCATCCTTGGGGCATCTCAGAGATGAGCAGAACTGTTGGAAGGAGCACAGGAAGCAAGGCCTTCTTGGTTTCAAAGGGTGGGGCTACGGTCTCCTGGATCTCAAAGGGTGGGACCACAGCCTCCTAGATTTTAAAGTGTCGGATCTTCAAGAACTTAGTTCTGGAGTGTGGGGCTGCTGTCACAGTGTGCCAGCAGGATGGGGCTACCACCAGAAAATTGAGGAGGTGGGATTGCCATGCCCAAGGGGCAGAAAAATGCCAGGCCAGAGGGGTGGGTTCACCACTCAGGTGAACGAGGAGAATGAGGCTGCTTAAAGATGGATGAAGAGCAGAGTTACCATTCCAGAGGGCCTGGAAGGCAGAGCTGAAGCCCAGGGCAGAGGGGCCTCTACCCAGAATCCAGAGGGTGTGGCCAGCACTCAGAGTCTGGAGGGTGGGGCCATTGTTCAGATGGTCTCAGAGAACAGAGGATTATTTTCAAGATTTGAGAGCTAATATAAATTGTTGTGCTGGGTTTTGGACTTTCTTGGTGCCTGTTATCCTTTTTTCCCTCCAATTTCTCCCATTTGTAATGGAAAAGTCTACCTTGTACCTGTTCTACCATTGTACTTTGGAAGCAGATAAATTGTATTCTAGGTTTCACAGTCTCACAGATGAAGAAGAATTTTGCCCCAGGATGAAATACGCCTAAAGTCTTACCCATATTTGATGTAGATGCTTCAGAACATGAGCTTTTGGACTTGGAGTTGATTTAAAACTTTTGGGATGATGTGTTGGTGAATGTGTTTTGCATGTGGCAAGGACATAAATTTCGGGGGCCAAAGGGTGGAATGTTATGGATTGAATCATGTCCCCCAAAAATATGTGTGTATATCCTAACCTCTATTCCTGTGATTATAACCGATTTTTGAACGGGTTGTCTTTATTATGTTAATGGGAGGATTAGTGTAGGTTATTTCTTAAATCAATCTCTTTTGAGATACAAAAAGAAATTAAACAAGCAAGCAAGAGAAGCAGAGATGGGAGATTGATGCCAAGCCACATGGAGATCTCCAAGGAACCAGGAAACAAGCTGAAGAGACAAGGACCTTCCCACAGAGCCAACACACAGAAAGCCTTCCCCTAGAGCTGACACCTTAAATTTAGACCTCTAGCCTCCTAAACTGGGAGAAAATAAATTTTTGTTTGTTAAAGCCATCCACTTATGGTATTTCTGTGATGGCAGCACTAGACAACTAAGACATTGGTTAAGGTGTCAAATTTCTTGAATGTATAGTTATTCTTTTTCCTTTTGCAATTAATGAGTAATTTGTGGAGAGAAACGTTTGATAGTATATAAATATTGTTTCTCATCAAACTTTCCCCCATGTTTAGCATCCACTGAAGATTCTTGCTTAAATCAGGTTTTATTATCATGGTTGCAAAATTGTAATTTCCTAACTCTATCAATTATTGACATTTTACTGTAAAAAAGAGCTTTCCTTTTTCCCTCATTTATTTATTTTTCTAGATATCTATTACAGATATATAGATTTCTTATTTTATTGAATGGGTTATAATCCATTACTTTTCTTCTTTTTATCATACTTATATTTTCACAGATTTGTCCAGTGGGAACACCTTCAAGCTGACTTCTTTGTCCCTTTCACTGACCCCCATCATTTTCTTTCTTTTTGGCCCAAAATGTTCTAGGCTAATCTTATACCTTCTTTGCCCCAGCCTTAGAATCAGTCATTTCTGTAAGGAGTCCTTGTACTTTTAGTAGGGAGTGGTTTTATAAAGCAAGATCTGGAAGCTACGTGTGCTCATTGCTACTGGGATGTCATTGCTTCAAGGTGTTTTCAGCATAAAGAGCTAGGAAATAAAATGTACATTTATATACATGTAAATATACTAGAAAACATAGTTTATACTGTTTATACTGTTTCTTCCAATCCAACCCCAAGATGTTGTTTCTTTGCTCCCCATTCTCTATTTGTATTTCCTTTCTTTCACAGTATATTAATTTACTAAGGCCTAAAATAAACACAAGATAGTTTCAGAATTGCTACAGCCATACCGCATCATTATTCTTTTTGATACTCAAATTGTCCCAAATTTGGAGCCCCATTCAAGCTAGTGCCTACATCTTTCTGACACAAGTCCTATTAGCCTGTGAGCATTTTTCTGGCATGATAATATATTCCAGGATTACTTGCTCCAGACCTGGAATTGGTCATTTCTCCAAGGAGCCCTTGTTCTTTTTAATGGAAAATAGTATTTAGAGACCACAATCTGAGCACTAGAGGTGTTCATTGTTATTGGTTACTACTGCCTCTAGGCCTTATCAGTGAACAGAGCTAGGAAATACATATTTCTTAGATATAGAAAAAAAATGATTTTATATGTGTATATTTTCTTTTTTGCTTCCTAGTGACATTAACATAGTTATTAATTTGTTTTACTCTACTACATATATATAATAGTTTCAAAATAAAAACACATTATTACTAACAACAAACCCACTGAAGACAGTTAAAGATTATCCTTTGGGTCTTTTTGTCCTTAGACTTTATTATCATACAAGGAAGATACAGCAAAAATGTTGTACTGTAAATTCACTTGAAAGCATTTTTCTTTAGGTGGTTATGTCACCAATGTCATATAGAGTTGGATTAATTTGTATTGTAGTTTGTTTGCTTTTTATTTTTTTAAATGTGTAAAACATTTAAATGGTTCCAAAGTCTAAATGATAAAATATGATACATCTAGAGGGACCTAAAGTTTATTCTTGTTTTTTTACCCTGTGTTTTCTTCCTTTGCCTATGGGTAAGTATTTTTAAAATTTCAGTTTATCTTTTATTCGGTCCTTTTAATAATATAAGCAAATACATATATATTTCTACTCACCCCTCCTCCAACATGGCATACTATCACTCTTGTACTCCCGGGGATTACTGTATAAAAATACATCTAGATGTTCATCATTATTTTTAACAAATGAATCATATTTCATTGTATATGGATGTATCACAGTTTACTTAGTTAACTACGGGAATTGTGTTGTTTCCAGTTTTGTTTTACTACTATAAATGGTGCTGCAATGATTAGCCTGTGCCTATCCATGAAAATGGAGCAGGACCAGGCAACAAACATTTTGTTTGTTGTACATGAGATAGCCATAGCAGCAACTAACAACAACAATGTCAATTTTAAACTTTTTTTGCGAGTATACTTACACTGCTATTTCTGGATTCATTAACTTTAGAAATTATCTCCTGACCTCTAGTGTGACAGATTACGATTTAGCTAACTCAAACAAATCCTCTATGTATTCACCCCTACCCTCCCAATGTGGGTATATTATTTATAGCTCATCCACAAGTTATCTAATATACAAGCAATTTCTTTTTACCTCAACTATTGGTGATATTTTGTTTTATAAAATGAGTAGTATGTTTTCTTTACCATTCCTTTTACTGTTCTTACCCTCTTTCACTCCATGATTTCTTTCATGTTTTTATATTATCATTAAATGATGTTTTATCATCATAACTAAATCTTTATGATAATATCCAACTCCCTGTCAAATTTTCACTTATTGGTTTGAGCACTCACTGATGACCCTTGCCTGAATTATTTTATTAGTTGAAAATTGCTTATTTTAAAAATTCTATCATTCCTTCTACATTTATTAGCTCATATTTCTCTGTAAAGAATTTATCTCATCAACTGGGGCTGTTTAGTTACCTGCTTTTCTAAGCTAAATTTCCTATGTTCTTAAAACAGTTCCTTCATACATCATTTCAACACCTCTTGCTGTTCCAATTTGCTCTTTTGAATATGCTCTTGTTATCTCTCTTATGATTCTATAACTTTTTCTTTCTATTTGAGTGCCTTTTCTCCCAAGACTTCGTGCTATCACTGTGTTTATATTTCAAAAGAAGGGAAGTAGATGTCTTCATATTAAATTTCACATGGGAAATTAATGTGTATGTTGGCAAATTTAGGATAATGATGAAGCTATCCTGGCCAAGAACTTGGAGAGAGACATTTTTCACTTCGAAGGACCAAAGAACGGACAGAAAATTTCGGACAAATGTCTACAAGATTTGATCCACAAGGAAGAACAAATATCTCAGTTAGACAAACCTCCATATTCATTCTGCTGGGAAACTAAAAAAACGCAATCCCAGTATCAGAATTTCCTTGATCATCTGGCTACTCTTCAGAGCAACAGTGTTGTCCCGATAGCAGCCACTGAGGAAGCTGTGAAACAGAGGATTCAGGAAATTGTTGCAAACAGACAGTCCTGGAAGTCTGTAAGTGTATTGACAGAAAAGCTATTCTTTCAAATTTTTTTTTTTTTTAAGATTAGATGTTAATATTAGCCAATTCAGTAAACTCTGCAACTCTGAATTTTAATTTTGAGTTTATTTTTATTACTAGAGTGAAAGAGAGAAGAAGTTGTCTACTATTGTAGCAGAGTAGTATAGTGTGGTGGTTAAAAGCAGAGGGCTGCAGTATGAATTCCAGCTCCACTGTTTTCTAGCTGTGTGTTCTTGGGCAGGTTCTGATCCACTCTGTGCCTCAGTTTCATTTATAAAATTGGAGTAGGGGCATAGTTCCTACCTTGCAAAGTGGTTGTAAGGATTAAATGAGTTAATACACAATAAGTGCTTAGCATGATGCCTGGCAAGCTCAATGAATGTTAGCCTAAAAATAGTGATATGTGAAGACAGTGTTTGACAAAACACTGATCAGTTCAGTCAGTGCAATAAAGTGAGTTCTGTCAAATCAGTTGTTTGTTTGAATTTACCGATCAAGTATCAAATAATTGAATCAGTAGGTTTGGGTGGATACTTCTTTGTTGTATCCAAGTTATTTTAGTAAAATTTCATGACTCCTCACCCTAAATTTCATATGAAAATAGCTACTGATTAGAGTCAATGTGTTAGTGAAACCAGCTACACAGTAGTGTATTTACTGTAGAGTTGCATTTTTTTTTACACTTTGTTCTCTTAAACTTCATTATACAACCTTATTCTCAGTACTAACTAAAATGTTGTACTTTTGTTTATGAAATTTTTCAATTTTTAAAAATTTTAAATCAAATTTTACATGTCAAATCTTCTTAAAAGTATTCTCTACCCATCTATTTAATAACTTAGTGTCGATTCAGTGTCAGTATAAACAGAACTGGCACACAATTTTGAAATGAAGTAGAAAGTACGTGCCATCAAGAAGTTTTATATGTATATATATTTTTCTCTACAGAGAACTGAAGGTCTTCAGCAGGAAATTCAGATACTCAATAAACGAATGGAGCAGCTACATCATCTTTATGAAGAAGTTATTCAAGAATCATCCCAAGCTGAAGAAAAGTGTAGGGAAGAAAAAAAATCCTTGAAATGTCTGGAAGGAAAAATTGCTATCAATGACCTTTTTCAAGCAAAAGTAGACTTGGACAGGAAGAAAGTAAGAATGCCCTGAAGTATATGTATTTATTTGATGATGAAAATTATCATATTTTATTATAATATTAATAACTTTAGCTTTATCTATGTGTAAAGCTGTTAATTCTTTTTATACTTTTCTTAATATTGGAAGAAAGAATCTTTACCGTTAGTCCTTAAACTTATGCTTCTGATTTTACCAAAAGTTTTATGCATAATTTTCCTGATTTCCTTTTGTCATTTGTCCTCATTTTCCTTTAGCTCTTTGAGCATATTTAATATAGTTGTTTTAAAATCCGTCTGGTAATGTATTATCTGGGATTCCTCAGGGACAGTTTCTGTCACTTTATTTTCTAATTTTGAATGGTCCATCCTTTGCTGCTTCTTTTTATGCCTTGTGATTTTTCTGGTGAAAACTGAACATTTGAATATTACAGTGTGGTAATTTTGAAAATCTGATTATCCCCCTTCCTCAGGTTTTGCTGTTGTTGTTGTTTTTTTTTGTTAAAGACTGTAGTAATCCATTTGTTTAGTGCCTTCCCCTAACTATTTTTTGCAAAGACTGCCTTCTTGGTCATGTGTGGTCACTAAGCTTTTTGTTCCTTAGTTTGTGTTTAGCTAGTGTTTTGGCAAATATTTCCTTGAACACTGGGGCAGGGAGGAGGGGTGCTCTCTCAGTCTTTGCACGTTGGTTCTATGCTGGGACACTTCTTCAACACTTAACCAGGTTTGCACTGAGCTTAGGCAGGAATGGGTTACCCAAAAAGCAAGATAAGCGTGTGCTTAAGGCATCAACAAAGTGGGGGCACCAGTTGTCCAAAGCAAAGCCCCACAGGTGCCAAGCAGACAGGATACAAGGAAAAGTGAGTGGGACGGCACTGGCAGGGCGCTAAATGAAATTGATACAGGCTCCAGTGTGTGAGAATGTATCAGCTGGAAATAAAGTTGATGCGGGTTCATGAGGGCACCCATGCACACGTTGTTTAAGCTATTAGGCCCCTATCACTTCAACATCTTTGTTGAAATCTATCTCCTACAGTCCCCTCCTGGGTAACTGAAATTCCTTATCTCGGCGAGTTTCTTGGGGGGTATACTATTTCTTTCTAATAAATAAGAGGTAGGAGTGGGCTGTCAAGTGTAACTCTTGCTACATTTACCCAATATGCAACTGGATCCAACACGAGTGGTTGGGCAAGGATGGATTATATTAACAGATAACAGGTCTGTGATCCATTTTAAGAGAACCGTCTTGTACATCCACATCTGCTGATCCAGCGACTCCAGCCAGGAGGGTCCGCAATGCTCTTTGTCATAATACAAACACAAGGGTATGCTCTTGCACACATCCTGGTAAACAACCAATGGGAACTCCAGTCCCAGATGATGCTCAAAAGCGAGGGAACTCAAATAAATTGACCATTGCAATGAATTTAATCAAGTTACTTTTTAACTGGATAGCGTTTTTGTACTGAGTTATGTCCTAAGTTTTGTAAACAATGATATTTATAACTTTAACTTTAAAATATGTTTGGCATACACGTGGACACAATCTAGCATACATTTAATATAATACTAACATGGATAATAATTTAATGTAATACTAACATAGCAAATGTCAAAAGAATACTGGAAATATTAATACTTATCTAACATGAAAAGTTTTAATTTATGTACCAAGTGAGTTTCATTTTTTATTGCCTGTTGCACGGAACACAGTTCTTAATATTACTCTATATATGTTAATTAAAGAGGTATTAGGCACATTAATAGGATTCAAAATTCAATATTTATCATGCAAAATGTGTTTCTGTTTTGCAACACTGTGTTTCTAAATTCGTCTTCCAAGAAAGCAACAAAGGACGTTTATCAGAACATTACATTTATATTTTATCATAATATTTACATATCTCCATGTAAGGAAATTGAACAATTCCTTGAGGAAATAAATGAATATTCAGATAATAAAAATTATATAAATGTATTTTATTTTCCATTTCCTTCAGACTGACTTTCTTTTAAGAAATTGATTGATATTTTTATGACTTACAACAAACTTGCTCATCAAGAAGTGGTGCTATTGTTACATCAATTATATACATATCTCTGCATATGGGAGTTGAACAAATCCACAAAGAGATAAAATGTCCATTTTATAAATTTTGTATACGATAACAATTATATTTTTTCATTTCGGACCAATCAGGTGTAACCTCACATTAAGTTCTCTCTCATTGACCACATAAGAACATGCTGGTGGCACTATAATCACATGACTCGTGATGTGTCTGGTCCTATCCTGCACAAAGCACACCAAAACGTCTCTTCAGATTGAGCATACCCTTGTATTTGTATCATGCTCTTTGCACTCGCTCTCACCCCCATAGAATATCAGCAGTAGTCCAATGAAATGGGAAGACACAGCATCAAAAGACGGAAGGTGAGAGTGCAAGTTTTTAAGTATTATTTCGAGATGAAAAACCCTCGTGGAGATATTTGAAGGGCCCGCCAACAAACATCATATGACAAACGAATAAAATTATTTCTGACTGCCTCGTAAGTACTGTTTCTTTTGACTGTCTCAGACCTGCAGAACAAAAATACATGTTCCAAATCAGTTTTTTTCTTTCTAATTTTCCAATATGAATTTTTGTGTTAACATCCAAATTCAAATGTAAATTTAATTTTATGAATTTTATTTGTTTTATAAATTTTCTTTAGTTTTCATTATTCAAATTTATTTGCTACAGTAGAACCAGATTTTAAAAATGACATAATTTTATATCCAGGTAAAATGAAACGGCAACAACAAAGTGGAGTGCAAAAAGAAAAGCTCACAGAAGTAAAAAGAAAAGGACTTTCAAATCCCTAAAGACAATTCCAAAATTAACTTCCTTAAGATGTAATGAATCAGAAGAGACTTCTTCCACTGAATGCTCGAGTTTAATGGGTACACATTGTTGTACTAGTACCAATACTGCTCAAATTACTAATAGAAATGCCAATATAACAGAATTTTTTGTAAATTCTGCATCTATTCCTTGCTGTTGTGAAAAAATTAATACTGGTATAGAAAGTCAAACTATTTTAAAATCTGAAACTGTCACATGTGCAGTTGCCATAACTAACAGAAGTACAGATCCTGCTTTGTGGAATAATTTTTCTTCTAATGATGTGAATTATTAGATCAAAAGAGGACCAAGTGATTGTCAACATCACAGTGGACCATTTGAAAATTTGTGTCAAAAATTTCTGGATGGTAAACAAACAAAGTTCTGTGGCCAGAATATATTTATAGGGTGCAAAGCTAATGGTGAAAATTATAAGAGGGAGTGGCTACTGTTTTCTGTATCAGTCAGCTCTGTATATTGTTTTGTTTGCAAACTATTCAGTCCTAAATCGTTTAATTCTTAATTTTCTATGGATAGATTTAGCGATTGGAACAACTCAAATATGATCGATAAACATGAAAACAGTTCAATTCACAGAGACTGTATGTTGTCATATTTAAATTGAAGACATGGTTTTGGCTTACTTCATGAACTGGAAACACAAATTAATGAATAATGTCAGTATTGGAAAGCCGTTTTGGAACACACTATCGCTGTCATTATAACAATTGCTGAACGTGGACTGTCTTTTCAAGGAAGAAATGAAATGTTTGGGTCCCCACAAGATGGAAACTTTTGTAGTTTACTTGAACTTGTTGCTCAATTTGATCCATTTTTAGCAGGTCACATCTCAAAATATGGTAACACATGAAAGGACAACCCATCGTATATGTCTAAAATAATGTGTGAAGAATTAATAAACTTAATAAGTGATAAAGTTCAATCAACTGTTTTTAGTGAAATAAGTACAACTCGATATTTCAGTTTGTCTTTAGAGTCCAGTCCTGATCTTTCTCATACAGATCAACTAAGCATTGTTTTAAGATACATATCTCCAACAGATGGAAAACCTGCTGAGTAATTTATCACCTTTACTAGCTTAAAAAGTCATACCGGTGAAGAAATTGCAAATCAAGTACTTCACTATTCATGTGAAGTTTGCAAAAATGATTTTTCTAAGCTCAGAGGCCAGTCCTATGACAATGCTGCCAATATCTCATGGTATTATAAAGGAGAAAATTTTAGAACATAATGAATATGCCATTTTCATACCATGTGCTGCACATTCACTTAATCTTGTAGGAAGTAGCACAATAGATTTTTGTCTGGAAGCAGCTGATTTTTTTTCTACTGTTCAGTTACTCTACATGTTTTTGCCACCTTTACTCATTGATAGGCAGTTCTTAATACATATTTAGGCAATGATCAAGTATTAAAATATCTTTCTAATCACGATGGGAAATGCATGCTGTAGCAACCAGTGCAATTCTGGAATTGTGCACTCAGATTGTAGATGCTTTAGAAAATATTGCTGAAGACCAGACACAAAAAGGAGATACCAAAAGAGAAGCTGAAAACATCGCTAACAAAATGCAAACACTAGAGTATGTATTTATGTTGGTTATGTGGAACAAAATATTGCAGCATTTTCATTGGACAAGTCAAGCTCTCCAAGATTCAGAAGTAAATTAAAGACGCACACAGATCTCTACCAATTATTAACAGGGTATTTACATAATTTAAGAGAAGATTTTGAAAATTTTGAAAACACAACAAAACATATATTGCCAAATACTGATTATCAATCAGTTCGCTGTTGCAGAAGCATTAGAAAGAAACAAGTAAATGACAGAAGTGCTCCAAAGTATTGAGTGCCAAGATCAATTTCGCATAACCACATACTACACAATCATTGACACACTTGAATCTTGCATGAAAAGAAGTGAAAGTGTATGAAGTTTTTCAAATAGATTTTTCTTCTTAAATACCTGATGCAGAATGCATGAAGACATCCAAGAAATTAGTTCAGGCTTATCCCAATGACTTACAGAGAAATGCAACAATTTCATTCTTATATGAGAACTAAGTTTACAGATTCAGGAAAGACAAGTTTTACTCATGTAGGCATGTATGA